TATACACATAAAGTAAGACGTGGCTCACTAGCTCTTAGGAACTAATGAATAAAATATAGGCCCATAAAGGCAGCATGAACAATGGAAATATTATCCTCTGTTGCATAAATGCACAGCCGACCACAAAGTATTCTCACAGGGAGCTCGTTCCTCTTATCTCTGACGGCTCGTCGGCGATGGCCGGCCGCTGCATGTGGAGACACAGACCGCTAACGAGGGGGAAATCCCCCCCCCCACACCCATCACCCAAGATTGATGTAGAAAATTTAGCCAGCAGACATTCCTCCGGGCCGAAATGAAAGAGGTGCCTGGTTCACCAGCATTCCTGATTGGCCGCACATTCTTTTGCCATTCTAACAACAGTGTGATTGCTGGCATGGAGCCGCGGCTTCGTGAGGTAAACAACCATAATATTTCTATTTCCTAAGTAGTCCTCTGGTGAAGGTCCATTAAAAGGCCTGATATTGATCAGAAAAAAGATTATGAGAGGTGAAGGAACAACATCCTTCCTTTCTACATCAGGACTACTGAAGTACCTCTGGGCAAGGAGTTAAACAAGCAACTCATGAAAATTGAATAATTTACATTTACATTTATTCATGTAGCTGACGCTTTTATCCAAAGCGACTTACAATTGCTATGCATGTCAGAGGTCTCACGCCTCTGGAGCAACTAGGGGTTAAGTGTCTTGCTCAGGGACACAATGGTGGATGTAAGGAGGCAAGCATCTTATCTATGCGCCATCACCAATTTAAGGACTATAAAATGGTTTGTTTACCATCTCCACAGAAGAAAATGAATAAAATAAGGAAATATACAAGAAAAATAAATGATAATAAATTTTAAAAAAATAGGAAAGGGCAGACATAGGGAAAGCCAGAAACCATGAGCAAAAGGCAAAAAAAAAAAAGAAATCAAGGAAAGACATTCCACACAGACTGATGAAAAAGGCACAGCAAATAATCAAATTAAAAGCATATTATATTTTAGACGTCTCTAACCCCTTGTCAACCTTAAAAATGGGGATGGGGATGTACCTTCAAGAAATCTGTCCTGTTACAGAAGGCAAACTGCTGCGCTAGGCCTGGCTTCTGCAGCATGACTCCTAATACTGACATTAATTATTAATTTGATGCATTCATCACTCTTCCGACCAGCCGTCGATAACCTCCATTATGGCGTGTGTATACATTACAGAGTGTATAGTGTGTCAGAAACTTCCCGCATACGAGCCACTGGATGGCGGGAAGAGAGGAAGGAAGAAAGAGAGAGAGACCGAGAGAAAGAAAGGGTGATGGACAGGAGTGACAGCAGAAAGCATTAGCATGAGGGGGCCGAATCATGATATCAGAGCTAGATATTTGACAGAGCGAAAGAACTAGAGTCGTTAGGACAATGGCAATTTGACAGGTAATACAAACTGCACATTGGTGATAAAGTTTGAAGAGGTTACACAAAGTTACACAGCTCTGTAAGGTCTGTTTCTGGTCTTCCGCTCGTTTGAACAACCGTGCACCGAGCTCAATTGGTTTCAGTTCATTTAGGTTAACAAGTAGATGCTGACAGAAACATAACCAAAATACTTCAGGTATGAGGGTCATTTATTGTTACCTTAGAATGAGCCATTTTTATCTACAGCTCATCATGCTGCTGCTTGTATAATTACATTTATTACATTACATTTATTCATTTAGCTGACGATTTTATCCAAAGCGACTTACGATTATTTGTGTCAGAAGTCTCTGGAGCAACTTGAGGTTAAGTGTCTTGCTCAGCGACACATTGGTGGATGGGTCACAGTGGGGGATTGAACCCTGGTCTTTCACAGAGCCACAGCCTCCCCGTTATATATGTTTTAGTTTTTCCTGTTCCCTTGTAGTGTCAGAAAGTTGTTAACAAGATCACCGATCCAGCTGGAACCAAAGTCAAGCTGTGGTTGCATGGGGATACATAAGCCGCTTTTCAACCAAAGGTACTGGGGACCTTTAAGTCCCCAGATCTCTTTTCAAGAAACTAAAAGGTTCCTTCAGCGTCTCCACCGTGGTCTAAAGACCTGCGAAGATTAAGCAAATTAACCAGCTGATATAGGCTGTAGCCATACAAAGCGATCATTATTTGTAACCACTATCCATGAGCAACATTTATAAATGAACATCAGATTTGACTGGAATATAATGAAAAACTATAGGCTTTGCTTGACCATTAAAGCAGCTTTTTTGTGTGGGAGCTATAATGAAGAGACACACGATAAAGTTTGTTACACATTTAATAACAAACTGGATAAACCCATCAAGTTCTTCAAATAACTCCAGCACAGAGAGAAAGCAACACAAAAATGAAATCGGGACAGTTTGGAAGGTTATTAAAACATTTCCAGCCGACAAAAGCTGTAGATCAGCTGCAGCACTCACGTCTGTGTTGCCTGAGTAACGTGATGTTTAACGAGCTTTATTTTACCTGCTGTAATCAGCTGTTCCGCTTGTTTCGGAGAGGAGGACACAGACTTCGTCTCTGTGTAAAATCCTCCTGACTGAAACTTAAAACAACAACTCCGGACCCAGTATTTAGCGTAAACACACCGCTGCACGCTGGCTGCTACTTCCAATATATTTAATGCCAACATACGATCTCAGGCGGACATCGGCGAGACCTGTGTGCTATTTGACTGTTGATTGTGATTTATTGGTTTGCAAACAAAGGTGGAAAAGAGACAAGCAGTCGTAGAAAAACAGCTGACATTCTCCAGTTAAAGCCAGCAGCCTCTACTCGCCCATTCAGAATTTCACTGCAAGGCAAGCCCCGCCCCCCAAAGTACCGGTACTTTCAGAAAGTACTACCTCCTGAGCAGTGACTTTTTGGGGGTAAAATGAAGACCCCATAACTATATTTAGACCCTGGTCCCTCCGGTGGAAAAACAGTGACTTCCTCCAAAGGTTCCTAGTTAATTATATAGTTCCTTTGGTCGAAACGCAGCTCTAGAATTTTAAGGCAGTTGAGCGGGGGCAGTACAGGTGTCAGATGGGTGTAAGTTCTGTAACTTACCATTGTGTCTCATTGTGTCTCCCGAAGGTGAGACAGGTGGTCAGTAGGTGGAGTTTGGCCACATTTAATTACAGATTCACAAAAAAGCTATAGATTAACATTTCTTTAAGAACCTGGAGGTTTCTCCCTGCCTTTCAATACAGCAGCAACATTGCAGGATCTCTATATTTTGACGCCCAGTGGGGTCATGAGTGAGTGTGGCCTGTCTCTCTCTCTCGTGAAGGAGGAGCTGATTGCAGTGGCTCTGGGCACCTAGGCTAATTGCCCTGTAGAGTATTTGGGACTGTCTTCTCATTCTGCAAAGAGGCTGCTGTCGAGGCCTGGTCAGACCTCCCTGCGGGCTGGCTCCATGGGTTCCCCATTTAGTTTGCTTGGACTTTTGCGTTGTGGTATTTATCTTGTTTTGCAAACTATAACACCTTCACACATACACTCATGCAACCATCATCCTGCACAGACACTACTGAAACCATAGACTACATACCTCATACTTTAATGTTAGTTTGAAATACTTCTTAAATTTGGTTAACTTTGGTTTAAAACAACATATTTTGTTAAACTTATACCATGGTGTGTCTCCCTTTTGTTGTGGCCTTTTGAGCCAGGTCATAATAAAATGTTGTTGTTGTTAATAATAATAATAATAAAATAAATTATAATTACCAGTTTTATCACAATGTATTCAAATTACCTGCTGATTGTTATTTATTTATCTCTGTCCAGTGTGCATTAAAACATTACATTACTGCTTATTAAACTGTTAAGCCAGTAGACATTAAACAGAGTGAGTACATTAACATTTAAGACAGACAATTTAAGAACTGGCTTGTCCTGGCGACAACCAAGCCAGCCTGAGGTGAACAAAGTTTATTTGGGTTAGAATGGCATTGAGAACCTCAACAAGCTCATTAATTTTCTCTCATTAAGCTCCAACAATGTCTCTAAACTTTGAAAGTTAATGTGCATTAAATTAATGCATTGTGAGAGCACCATGCTGGACAGAGAGAGTGGCTCTGATCACAGAGAGCCAAAAAGTGACGTACTGACATCTTTAACAGCTAATGAAGAGATGAAGTCACATAGCCTCGATACGCTAATGAGAAGCTAATGGACGGTGGAGCTGATGACTGCCAAGTCGGCCTCTAGAGTAAACACCAGGGGCAAGGAACCATCACTTTGTTGTACACACACACGCGCACGTACACACACACTATCACAGAGGTGCTAAACGCAGTTCCACCCTCCCATACGTCAAACTTAAACAAAGGGCGAGACAAAAGCTTAACGGCTTCTTTGTTTTGAAATCAGCTTTACTCCGACCTGAACTACAGCACATACACACACAGTGTTTCTGTAAAAGCTTTTAACTGTAAACTAATGTGACTTTGGGCATGTGTGTGTTCAACTGGGTGTGAGCTCACAGCTAATCATCTAAAGGGAGAGGAAGTCCATAAATCAGCAGAATACAACTCTCACACTGTAAATCTACACTAACACGTCATCACTGTGTGTCTGTGTGTGTGTGTGTGTGTGTGAGTGAGAGAGAGTGTGAGAGTGAGATTTACTCTCTAAGGTAGAAAATGTACTTCAAGATTTGGACAAATAAAAGTTCAATCTAAGTATTATCCGCCGCTTAGGTTGCAGTGGCAGCAGACGAATGAAGGCTGCCTAGTTTCTTCTCCACAGTAATGTCCTCCAGAGACCCCTGGGGGTTCCTGAGTTATTATCAGGCCAGATGGGATACATAGCCACCTGCATGTCCTCAGTTTGCCCTTGGATGCTTGGATCCCATCTCAACTCAACAACTTCACCTGGCTCTTATCCATAAAAAGTTTCTACCTTAAGATACTTCCAGAAACCACATCAGACGAGCTTTTCCTTCCAATCAGCCATCATTACCCATGTGAGCACCCCAGTCTCCCAGCAGAACTATGTGACTCTGTGTGTGTGTGTCTGACCTGGCTATAAGTGGCGTCCAGCAATGTGTCCAGGTTCTGAAGGGGTGCCGGGGTTTTGTCTTTGAATCGAGTCAGCAGGCGACGCTGGATGGCTCTGAATTGGACAGCCCGCTCTGACAGCAGATCCTGGTACTGCTGACCACTGACACGCAGCTAACACACACACACAAACAAACACACACCCAAAACAAAAGGGAGACAAGAAGACATATTATTTATTTGGAAGTGATTGTTTAGGTCATTCTTAAGGTCAACTGAGAGATCAACTACAACTGGTATCGATATCCTTTTGTAAGGATAGTTGACTGTATTTAATGTTAACTTTTTTTTCCTCTGGTATTTGTGGATTTGCAGTCCTGTTTGCTGCTTGACTTCAATTTATCATGTCGTGCGTGCGTGCGTGCGTGCGTGCGTGCGTGCGTGTGTGTGTGTGTGTGTACCTGGAAGTGGTGGTCCAGAGACAGGAAGTACTCCTGCAGCGGTAGCGGCCCACTGAAGCTTTTCTTGAAGTCTTTGACTCCCAGTTTGGAGAAATGCCGGTCGAATCTCTGGACCAACTCTTTCACCACCAACCACATGTCCTCAAAACTGTCACTCTGAATACGGTAACGCTCTGACAAGACAAACAAACAGATCGATAGAGACACTTCCACAGGGGCTGGGTACAGTAACGTTACAAGACATACGAATGAAAATTAAATTTAAAAAGCTATTTTAAAAAGTAAAGAGTACAGCCAATTTAATAATCAGCATTGAGTTGTTGCAAAAATGCATTCAAAGACAACAAAAGAGACTAAATGTACAAATAGGAAATTAAATACTAACAAAGGGTATGTGTGACACCAAGAGATAATGAAAGATATCAAAAGGTTCCTAGGTGCTAGACGGGGAAATGAAGGGATCAAGGTTAAAAGCAGTTTTAGAGTCATAATGAAATGTATCACAAGGTTCTGAAAGGTGTCAACATGTGAAATTAAGATACATCTTAGGTCTTATGAAGTGAAGTATTGCAAAGAGACATAGCAAGAGGTCAAGGGATACATCAACTGTTATAGACACCATTTGAGAATGGCATCTGGGAAAATGTTTACAGCCCTGAAGCAGTACTGTATTAGAGATAGATGATCCCCCTCATATATGTAAACCAGTTTTCCTGAAGGTAAACTAGTGTTATGAAAATCCTGTTCATCATGTAGTGCTGCGGTCAGACTCACGGGAGGTCTTAGAAGCCAGCACAGTAACCTTGGCTCCTGACAGGAACTGGAAAGCCAAACTATTCCCATCCTTATCTGCTGATTTTGCTGAAAACTCTGCAGAGCGAGAGACAGAGAGAAAGACAGGCAGCCGTGTGATGAGACAGATAGGACGGCCTATCATGATGCAAGACGCCAACAAAGGTGAACAAGATACAGTCACAATGTTCACAAAGACGCACAGTATAAGCAGGCATGAGCTTACACAAATCCCTCTTTACACAAAAAGCACACAATGATGGACACTGAGTGTGTGTTTAGACGTCAGAGCTGCTGATTGCAGCCGATTGTCAGATAACTGAGAAATTGAACTCTTAGGGCTGAAACACACACACACACACAGAATCACAAATAAATAAACACGCATAAACACACTCGTATAAATACACAACCACACACACACAAATACACAATAGTTGATTACTCATGTAAATGTATGCACACGCACAGCTACACATGTCTCATTCCCTCCCCTCGCTTTCCGTTGCTCATGTCATTTGGATTTGTGTAACGCCCTCCGGTGGCCACTTCATTGGTCCTCAGTTGTTAAGCAACAATAGCTGTACGACCTATCAGTATCCATCTCAGATGAACTGAACAGACATGTATTATAATGCCAGTGTGAAAAAACAGATTCCTCACTGATACTTTATCTGACTATAACGGACTGCATTTATACAGCACTTTTATCCAAAGCAATGCACAGTTTGCATCTCATTCACCCATTCACTCATTCACACACACACACAGTTTAGTGTTTTGACACTTAAACATGTGGAAAGAAGGAGCTGGGGATCGAACCGCAAATCCTGCAATTAGTGGCTAACCCACTCTACCTGCTGAGCCCCAACCCCCCTTAATGTGAATCTGCTGTGCTCCACACCAGGAATTTAACCTGTGCTAAATCACAGTTCAAAACTGCAGGTCACGTCACACTCTTGGGCCCAGAGAGAATCTACCCCACAGCAAACCATTAAAAAAAATATACAGCTGTCAAGCAACAAAGCAAATGTATTTCTAATAGGTGCTTGTTCATTTTGAAGGTTCAACAAAATCAAATAATTGCCTTTCCTGTGACTTTAACATTGTATGGATGGAGGCACTGTTCCACTAACTAAAATATGTGCAAAAACTGCAATAAACTGTAGCCAGAGATTTTGGGGCAATTCAATTAACCCCTCCAATCACATGCTGGTCAGTACTGGCAGCTTTAAGATGGATCAGGGGTGTGCATTCACTGTTCAGTTTACAAAAACACTGCTAACATCATACAGCTGTCTCCGCTGCCAAAGCCTTGAACAAAGCAATGTGTTTTGAGTCATAGAAAATGTGTGATTCAAATGCAGAACATTGGCTGTTTGGAGAACTGACACCAGCATCGGCATGTGTAAGTGTTTTTGTTGTGTTTGGATGTGTATGACCTGGGAAGATGGAGTTGAGGTCCACTGGTGGCTGGTTGGTGTCCACAGTGATCTTAAACTTGGTTGTTTTGGCTGGAGAGGAAGGAACACACACCAATGCCAGAGGAAGACTGAACCTGGACTGAAGAACCCTGGGAACTCCTGAGAAAAGCAAAATATAGCAAAATATAGCAAAATTGAAAAATCATTTTTTATGTTGCGTTTTCTCCACAATTTAGTGCTTTCCATCTTCCATTTTGTAGCAATGCCACTGAGCTGCCAAGGGTGTTTACTCCTATTTGTTAAGGTTAAGTGTTTATTTGCAAATTAAAACCAAAAAAGTTTAATTTCTTCATTACTTTGATTTATTTTGGTTAACAGAGAAGAACAATAAAAAGCCCACTTCCCCTCTGAGTGGCACCCTTCTCCGACAAACTCCCCTACGGCGAATGAAACGAGGTCGGCACATCGCTTTATGGGCTTTCTCTCCAAACAGCAGTCAGGTTAACATTTGTTAACACAGTCAACACTGCAGATATTCAGATTACACAAGTATGTGAGAGCTACGAGATCTAGAGACTCAACATCAACACCAGGTTTGGAAGGGTGTTTGTCGAAGAGCCGAAAAGGAAGTTTTTTGAAAAGTGGGGGGAAATTCTGAGAGGAAAAAAAGAGGAGTTAAGGCCAACTACAACTATGTCCTGATCTTAAGCAGTGCTGAGCTTGGCAGAAATCTACACTTAGCTAGAATAACAGAGCAAGGGAAAGGACAGATGGAGGAAAACAGTTGTTAAGAAGAGATGGAGCGAGGGAACCAGGGGACAGGAGGAGAGCTAACGACAGGAGTGGGAGAAAACCTGAGTCGAGCAGAAATAAAGCAGCGTGAGAGAGACTGAAAGAGTAATAATAAGACAATCGACAGCCGTGGTGGGAGGGAGGGACAGTTTAATCATGGAATGTTCCAGGTTATTACAGATAGTAATAATTACCTTCAACTACTGTGCACCTTTTCATTCCATACAGTACATGCAATTATTATGTGATTATATGAATAATTCAATTTGGTTTGAATACATGAACTGAAGCAGAGAGAGAAGGAGAAGGGAAGCCAAGGAAAACAGAGGCAAGGCAAGGAGAGAGAAAGTAAATGGATGGTGTTTTAGAGAGGACCAGTGACTGTGGTCCACTTCTCTCCTCTCTCGCTTAATTTCTCATTGACCACCCTTGTCCTGGGTGATTAGAAAGTTCAGCAACAAATCACATCCAACAAACAGAACAGAGAGGGTTAGATCCACTTGTCAAATTGAATATGTTGTAGGATTACTCAAACTAAAATACATGATCCATGTTGGAAAAGTAATGCTATTCGTGATAACTACACTTTTCTTTCTTTTTCCAACATCTAACTGACTCAGATGTCTTCAATGTCACATTCCCCCACCAGTAGGTGTACATTGCATTAACGTTCTGGCAAAAAATCCCAATCAACTAACAGCAGACAAATCTAAAGCAGATCTACTCCAAAATACACAATCATGTTTTGAGGTTTTAAGTAATAAGCTTCAGGTTTCAAGCCGCACCACTGAGTTTTTAAAGTAACTTTGACAATAATCAGGGCAGACATGATGTACACTGTGATGGATTGCCTGACTCCAACAGGTTTCAAGTCTCTCCAAGTTGAATTTCATAACATACAGAATGAATGAAACCACTGGCTGTCTGAAAGGAAGGAAAACATTTTTACCAAATCAAAAACACTGTGGTAAGCTTTGGAAAAAGGTCAACACTAAGGTAAAGTATATGTGGTGTAGTGAATAAAAAATTGGCAGAAACAGGTATGGTTCTTTAAAGACTCCGGCAAGATGAGAGGAGGAGGATTCTGTTTTACATTGATGATACTTGGTGCTCAAACACAGTCAAGAATGACACGGTTTCCCAAATGTCAGGCTTTTTAATGTGAAGATGTTGCTGCTGTTTACATTCACCCCAGACACAAAATCAAAAAATGCACTACAGAATGTTCAGGGTGTATGTATTTATAAATAATTGTATATATTGTTTTATTTTATATTATTTTATATGTTACCCTATTTTCATAAACATTTAATTATTGGTAAAGTTCTGTGTGTGTAGCATGAAGGGACTACAAACTTCGTTTTGTTAAACAATCTTGTGCCTTGAAAAGACTGTTTTCTTCCTGTATACTCGTCATGGAAATATACATTCAGCACTGCTGTTTCTTTCACTATAAATCCAAATGATGACCAGAGTCAAACAAAAAACAAACAAAAAACTCAAGTGAAACTGGGGGCTTTGATTCAATTCAATCATTATAGATATAAATAATAATAAATAATCTTAACACAGCAATGTTTGCTCAAATGTTATTGAGACACCTCACTCTGTTATTGTGCAACCAAATTCACACAAGTACATGAAATATAGAAGTGCGATTTGAATCACTACCTGTGGAGCTTCTAACACTAGACTTACGTTAAAACGTTTCGTGGATCAATACCCACTAGTGTTAAGACTGTATCTGTATCAGCTCTGATTGAGCTCTAGATTAGATTTAATTTACACAGGGTCTGGACAGCTGAACCAAAAAAACAAATATATGCAGAGGAGCTCTAATGAACATAGAAATTTAGGCTAACCCATTTTACTCTATTTCTCCGTTGATACTGTATGTTCAGCAAGCAAAGTCTTTGCCAGGATTATGGGTAATGGACACTATTAAAGTTTTGAAAAAATGGATGTTTCCACTCGCACTCGGTTTGTCCACTTATTAAAAGTGTGTTGAATCAGGCTGCTGTGAGGAATGTAAGATAAAAGAAGGAACTCTAGTCCTTATGGTGTTAATGATGGGTGGGGAAAAAGAGAGAGGGTGAGGAAATATAAGCAGTGCAATAAAGTCTAAGACACTAGCAGGGAAAAGACAACAGAGAAAGAGATGAAGGAGATTAAAACACGATGACAAGATGACAGACAGAGAGGAGAGGTGGAAGTAGAGAAGAAGGAATAGGAGGTTGAAATGGAGGAAGAGGAAGGGAGTGGAGGTCATGAAAAGCTGGAAAAGGCCTGGGGAAACATTTTTCCATCTCAAATTCAGCATTGCCATTTACTAGTCACCACTGTTGCATGTGTGGTTATAAATCTCGTCTTGTTCCACTCCACCTCTGTACATTCCAAAGTTGTCGCCACCAGGTTACACCCTCAATAAAGAGATTTACCTTCAGACTTTCAGCTGTATAATGTTAAATATCTAATTACAGAGACACACATGACATAACAGAAAAAAACATAATTGTGTTGAATTATCACTAATAAATGAACCTGTCCACGTCGTATCAGTAAATGTAAAATCCCTACTGTATTGCCCAAAGACCAGATATGAATGCGCAAACCACATTTGCCCAAAATCTTTATGCCTGTTTGATTTGAACTTTATTGGCATCCTATTTTTTCTTTGCTGTATTGTATTGCTAATTGTGGCTGCACATGAGCCTCAGGAATCAATTAATGTTGTGTCAAGGAACAGCAGAAGGTAGTAAATATTAAAATTTAGCTTAAATTGAAACTGAGACCAATGGCTTTAAATTTGTATTTCTTTAGGGAGCCAGGGGAACGAAAAGGTGAATAAACACACTTTGAGATAGTCTAGGCTTTAAATTAATTAGATAAGGTCACATAGATTTGTATGAACTGAAAACAAGATAGGATAATGTACTTATGTTAGAGGTATATTCTTTTGTTGCGTTGATTTGCATAACGAAAATCCTTTTTTTCCCTTTTTTCTCTTTTTGCCTTGCAAGTTTGTGATTAAATGAACGTGAGAGGCTTTGCTGGTGTGGAAATGTTGCTACAGGTGCCAGTAAGAAAATGAAATAGGATCCAGGAAGTCCACTTAAGAGTAAAACATGCATGAGTTCATGAAATCCCAGGCTTATCAGACGGCTGTGATTCATTTTCATATTTTCTGATCAGCATGAACGGACACACAATGTTCACAATTTCCAACTGACTCAAATGTATTCTTTATCTGCTAAATGTGCATCCTCAATCTCGTCACAGGAAGGAGGAGTTTGAACGCTGGATCATATTTTGTCAGCATCACCGTGGCAATAAATAAACACAGGCATCATTCGCCTACGTCAAACGTCACAGTTTGAGTCAGGTTTGATGACATGAAGGATGACAAGACACGGTGGAAAGACACGCAGCAGACTGTTGGTGTCTGAGGAGGCATTTTAGTGAGACTGAAGCCAGAGAGTGACTAACTGACTAAACACCATTTCTCAGTTACAGTAAACTGAGGTTACTGTGTTTGTCTTATAGATTCTTCATTTCATTCACTGCTTGTTCTGAACTTCAGTCTTCTGTAATCTGCAGCTGGGGATGTTTAAGTTTTTAAGAGCGTAGATACCTGAATCCACAGATACGTCATTTACTGTGACATGTGACCCCAGACATAACTCCTAATAGTTGCTCGCACTGCTGGCGATGTGGGAAATAAAGCTTTGTCAACTGTTAAACACACTTAAAATCACAATTCAGCACCGCTGCTGCTACTTGTTAAAGCTGCTGTACCTCCACTGCACTTCTGTCTCAGAGGACTCTCATTCAAATTATCTGGAATCTGCATGTGTGTGTGTGTGTGTGTGTGTGTGTGTGAGTGAGAGAGAGAGAGAAGGGGGAGAGAGAGACCACAGGGTTTATTTGAGCAGAGGATCACTGTATAGGATCAGGTTCTTACCACAGCTGCAGTGATGTCAGCCGTGTGTGTGTGGGTGCGTGTATTTCTGTGATGTGTGTGTGCGTCAGGATACTGCATGCACTACACACATGCTCATACCTTGTGTTTGTGTGTTTGTGTCTTTTTATCATTTCCACTGTGATACACACAGTCACAGCAATCCCTAGTCTTCAACAAATCATGTTCATATGCAGCTATTCTGCATTAGTGATGTTGAGTTTTAAAAAGTTACAACAAAACTTAATGTACTCCAGTGTTTCAGTGCTTTCTTCAAATGTAAACCTGCTGGGTTTTAGGCCAGACAATTTCATTAGAATGTTGATTAAACCATTGTTTGTATCCTCTTTGTAATGTAAAGAAAACTGACACCTCTTTGTTTAGTGCCAGAAGGACAGTTTTTTGACTG